AAAGAGGTGAGTCCTCTGATTGACGTGATGTCGAGTCCACACACGGCCTTGATCAGAGGAAGACCAGTAGTCCTGGTTCTGCTGGAAGGTATCTCCGACAGGTTCATTCCACCGATTGGCTCGAGAGGGGTCCAGGTCGGTGTCATCAATGTACTTCCTGTCGAGCTCCTCGGTCTCCTCGTCGGAGTCAATCTCTTCCCTCTTCCTCGGTCAGGTCCGTGTAATGTGTGACTCCACGGTTGCGCACCCCCAAAAAGCGCCAACTTGGCACGATCCAAGGGATCCATGGTGTCCGTGGCACCTGTGTCCTTGTAGACGGCCGGCTTCACATGTTCAGGAGCAGCTCTGAGCAATGAGGTTCCATGGGCAATCCAGTAGATGTCGCCTTGAGGGCCAGCATCGCTCACTTCTCGCATGACCACAATGGCTGGTCCCTTCCATCTCAACTTGCTCCCAGAAGCAGTGCCATCTCTCCAATAGTAGCATCTGTCACCAGTTGAGAGAATGTCTGCTGGCCCGTGTACTTCCTCAAGAGGGCACGTCGCAGTCGGGAGTCAATGTTGGCCTTGTTGACGCATCTGCTGCCACTCGCTGCAACTCCAACTTCTCCCGGAAGGCAACCGTTGGATCTACTAGGGAGGCCCACTGGAGCGAAGCCACTTTGCAGCTCAGTTTGCGGTCCCAGAAATAGGACCGGCTAAAACAAGTTTGTTTGCAAAAAGATCGTGCGGCAGTCTTGTAGTTCACGGGGCGCTGATGCATGTCCACACGCATGTCGTTTAGAGTTCGTCAGGTGGACAGTTGAGTAGGTGAAGCCAGGCAGGTAGGTAGTCATCGCATTCAGCCTGGCATCACCCAGTGATCCATGCCCCCCATGCCAGTTCACCTTGAGTGGGCATCCTATCCTTGGGAATCTGTGTTGGGGTGATTTTGGGGACGACTGTAGTCTGTTATGTGTGAGGCCGTGCTGTGTGAACAGCTCCAAGATTTGAAGCACAAGCATGAAGCTGCGAAGAAAGCAGCCCGCGAAGCCAAGAAGATGGAAAAGAATGCCCTCCGCAAACGGACCCGTCTAATCAAGGTGCCTCTCTGCCTCTGCGTGAGTGCTGGGCGGACTTTCACGTGCAGGACGCTGTGTGTCCTCATGTTCATGAATGGCAGGCTGCCAAAGGGTTGTCAAAGGCAGATCTGCAACTCCTCCTAGATGCAAAGAGCAAGGAAGTTGAGGAGGCCGGGTGGCCTTCTTTTGATTGTGTAAGATCATTCCCAGCGTCTCCCCCATTTTCGTTTTCATGCTTTCGCTTTCCATCCAAGGCAAAGGAAGTGGAGGGGCCGGCCTCCGAGGCTAAGTGAGAGCAACTGTATGTGTGTAAAGAGCATTTTTCGACCTTCCTCCATTTTTCGAGCTGGCAAGCAGACGCATGTTCTGCCGATTGTAACTCGAGGCCAATCTGCTGGGAAAAAGAGCTGTCATTTTGCAGCTTCTTTGTAAGATGAGCAATGTCGCTCACAGTTTCGGAAAGAAATTGCTCTAGTGACTTAATCTCTACAATGCTGCAAATTTTGTCACTGTTTCTGGACGGTGTGTAATGTACAGCGACTACTTGTAGTTTTGTTGCTCAAAACATACGCGTGGTTTTGCGTGTGGCCATGTTCACGCAGAAGCGCGGAAATTTGTGTGCAGCACATAAGCAACCAGAAACATTTGCACTCGTTGGGTAGTGAATCGTTGGGTGTAGGCGCGCTCCCTACAAGGGGATATGCAGGTGGTAGGTGTGACTTGGAATTGTCATAGGTGGAGGTTTGTGGGTCGTAGGTGCGCTCCCTATACAAGGAGATTTCCAGGTCGCAGGTGGGTGGAGGTTTCAGGGTCGTAGGCGGCCTTGCAGGGTTGCAGGTGGGGTGTACCTTACACACCGTGGTGGTGGTACACCTTAAACACTGGTGTGGTTCACCTTAAACACCGGGGGTGTGGTACACCTTAAACACCGGTGTGGTTCACCTTAAACACCGTGGTGGCGGTACACCTTAAACACTGGTGTGGTTCCCCTTAAACACCGGGGGTGTGGTACACCTTAAACACCGGTGTGGTTCACCTTAAACACCAGGGGTGTGGTACACCTTAAACACCGGTGTGGTTCACCTTAAACACCAGGGGTGTGGTACACCTTAAACACCGGTGTGGTTCACCTTAAACACCAGGGATGTGGTACACCTTAAACACCGGTGTGGTTCACCTTAAACACCAGGGGTGTGGTACACCTTAAACACCGGTGTGGGTGTGGTACACCTTAAACACCGGTGTGGTTCACCTTAAACACCAGGGTGTGGTACACCTTAAACACCGGTGTGGTTCACCTTAAACACCAGGGGTGTGGTACACGTTAAACACCGGTGTGAACGGGTTGGCTTTCAAAAACCATTGGTGGGTGGGTGGGAAGAGTTCCGTATGCACCGTTTCACATGTGCGTCGGTACACTAACGGGTTAATAACGGCATGGAGCCGTACTTCCTTGGAATAGTTGCAGGACGTACGGATACGTTACGCTTGCGCTGGGAGTTCTAGACTCCAACTATCTTCGGCGTGTAACTCGTTGCTTGTGCGGTGACCGACTTTATGTACCTCCAAGCATTGTCGCGTTGCGTGCGTTCGCGCCCTTTGCAAACCAAACATCTCCAAACAAGTTGGGTTTCGTTATTCTTTTGTGCTTTGATGTCATGTCAAGCGTTTTGTAGCTTCAGTGTGACTTTTGCTGCTTTGTGTTTTCATACTGTTGGTGTAACAATGCAACAACGTTTCATTCCATTGCCTCGCGGTGGGTCTTAATTCCTTGTACCTTCAAAGAAGATAGGTTGTGATTTGAACAAGCTCAGTTCTGTTTTGCAAGCCTTTCACAACCAGACTTGGCAATTGTGGGGTTGTGCAGTAGCCGTTTGTACCACCATGACGTGTATTTGGGTTTGCAGTTGTTTATTGCTTTTTGGGTTGCCGATGTCGTGACCTGTTCTTGTCAATGTAGCACCTGTTCTTGTCAATGTGAGTGCTCTTAGTGGCTGCAGCCGTTTCTCTAGTCACCACAGCACAAGTGACCATTTGTTGTTGGAGTGCGCCGTGCGGACCCCAAAGCAGCTAGTCACATGTGAGAGAGACCATGAGACTGGATGGACTAGGACAGCTCGGATTTGTCAGACAGTAGGTTGCATTATAGGAGCCATTCGTGTCAGGAACGATCGTTGTTGCCCCACATTGCAAGTAGTTTCGCAGAGCTAAAGCTAGGACACACGATTGTAGCCAATTTTTTTCCCCATGGTTCCGGTGTCGCCAAGGTCGCACTTCTTCTGGAACTTCCAGGCAAGAATGGGCGTGCTGCGTGCTGATAGTCGGGCTTGAGTCTTTTGTCTGTACCCCTTTCCCCCTAGACTCCTAACGTTTGTGAACTCTGAAGCATGTACACCGACAATTCCGTACATCCCCCTAATCAATAATAGTATTAATTTAAAACGGGATGGAGTAGGCAATTAGACTGCAGAAAGCGTCTGGAAATCTCAATTTTCTTGTTCGTCTTACTCCGACCTGTTGCCTGAAATGTCTTTCTGCCTATAGGATCTAGGGGCATCACTTTGCCGGAAGTAGCGGAGTAGGCGGAGTAGCAGCTGGACATCATGGCAATTAGACTGCAGAAAGCGTCTGGAAATCTCAATTTTCTTGTTCGTCTTACTCCGACCTGTTGCCTGAAATGTCTTTCTGCCTATAGGATCTAGGGGCATCACTTTGCCGGGAGTAGCGGAGTAGGCGGAGGAGCAGCTGGACATCATGGCAATTAGACTGCAGACAGTGTCTGGAAATCTCAATTTTCTTGTTCGTCTTACTCCGACCTGTTGCCTGAAATGTCTTTCTGCCTATAGGATCTAGGGGCATCACTTTGCCGGGAGTAGCGGAGTAGGCGGAGTAGCAGCTGGACATCATGGTTTTTGTGCTGTTTTTTGCCACATCCAAAGGCTGTTGCCGCCATTTTTGTTGTTCGAGGGTGACTTGACGTGGCAACTCCTGTTTGTGCAAAGTCATGGGCTGCTCGGCAGTGCTTGTGGCCAAACGAGCTCTTGTAGCTCTATTGCATGCCTTGGCTCCGCTCTACAACGTGCAGT